CTAGATGGACTGAGATAGATTTGGACTGAAGGTGATCCGTACTTGATGCCTTGTTGGTGTTGTCCTTGTATGCCTCTGTTTCTTCCTGTTACTATGGGACTATTGGGAAGTAACCCTTAACACAAAGCGAACTGCTGTACTAATAATATGTGAGCTGTGTTGTATTGCCCCCGGTGACCTGTCTGTTCAGTTCTTTGCATCTGTGATCCACTGGAACAAAAATTACAAAACATTTTTTTTTTTAAATTGAGAGAGTTGGTTTTGGTCTTTTATGTTATTTGCTTGACAATCCCAAAAATATAGAATATCACCAACCTTATTCTTTAAAGCCACTGAAGCTACCATAAATGAAGAAAAAAAGCATGTGCAGGGCTGACAATCTCTTTTGGGACCATTATGTGGAAAAATACCAGAGCAAAGTGAAAGCCTACTTGGCAATTCTCTGGGGAATTATTTGTCCTAATAATAAATGAATTCACAAAAAGTATCTGTTTTATTGCAATAATCAGAATTTGCATTTGCAAATGGACCTCAAAGAGTGATACTGTGGTGAAGTTCATCCACATTGCATCACCCTCAGTTTCAGTTTTGAACTTTACAAAAATCAAAAGCGCAATAATTTAAAAAAATTGGTTAAATAATTTATTTATTTTGATTTTGACAGTTATAAAAATGCAACATGAATGATCCCATAGAAGCTTGCCAAAGGCACAAAATGTGCTCAGTCCGGCCACAACATAACTCTATAAACCATATACATTTCTATTACAGCAAAAAACCTGATGCTGATTCTGATCCTGCGTGTCTCTGTCCCCAGGTGTTGTACAGCGAAAAGGACTCAGATGGTCCCCCCAGTGTCCAGGTGGCAGAAGGAGAGGGGAGTATGTCGCTGCTGCTCGGGGTTCTCCAAAAATACACGGTGTACGTGCTGCAGGTGCTGGCGTACACACAGATGGGTGACGGCCCCCCCAGCAACCCCATACTGCTCAGAACCAAAGAAGATGGTAGGATCTCTCTCTCTGTCTCAGCCTGATCACTGACCTTTCTGTCCTGCAGTTTGTTCAACACTTTTGCCTTCTTCTCACCTCAGTAGCTGTTTTTCACCTCTTTACACCTCTGCTGTCAGCACAACCAGCTTCCCCCCACTTCAGTGATCACCCACTGCATCCAGCTCACCCCTCAGACCTCTTCACAGCCCAGACATGGAGAACACATTGTGTAGTGTGTAGTGTGTTAGTATGTAACATGTGTGCAGATGTCTTCAGATGCAACCATGGCAGGCTTTTCAGGATGCCAGCAACCTGCTGATGAAACACAAGCACGCACGCACGCCCACACACACACACACACACAGAAAGACTCACACGTGGACACTCACACTCATCCTCTATCAAAAAGTGTCACGTTTGAAAAGTTTTTCTCATTTCAGGATGAAACAAGAACGGGGAAGTCAATTCCCGGCAATGTATAATGAACCTCAATCCAGTCTGTTGTCAGTCACACACATTCACATACTGTACACACACACACACACACATACACACTTTACTTTGATATGTATTTGGTCATGTGGAACATGAAGTTTTATCAGGAAGAAAGATATTTAACAAAGAAAAATTACATTTTCCATTTTGTGTCTTTTAGAAGTGCCTCTTAAAAATGTATAAGACACTCTGTGTGTGTGTGTGTGCATATACATCTGTGAGCTTTGGTCCTGTCATACTAACGTATTAGAATATAAGTGCTTGATGTTGAAGTTGTCTTTCTCATTACAGTATTGACGGAGTCCATTTGTGATTCTTTCTGCTGCTCTTTGTAGATATTATTAGTTTCATTCTGCTGCCAACTCCCTTCTCTATTTTTCTCTCCAGTTCCAGGCCCTCCTGTCAGGATGGTGTTTCCAGAAGTTCGATTG